GGAAAGTGAGAAAAACGAGGCCAACGCGAGTACGGGACAATCCTGCACACAGGCACCAAAAGTCTATCGATTTATCACCGACACGGTGGCTTTCAATCTCATCGATACTCCGGGCATCGGTGACACACGAGGCTTGGAATGTGACATGGAAAATATGAGAATGATCATGAAATGTGTGTCGAAATGGGATAAAATTCATGGGATTTGCCTTCTACTGAAACCGAATGTGAGTCGACTCACGCTGTCACTTCGATACTGCATCGTTGAACTGCTAGCAAATCTGCACCGAAACGCAATTCCAAACGTTTCCGTTGTTTTCACGAACTCTTGCAACACTCTCTACAAACCAGGAGATACGATGACAGTCCTGAGAAAGCTTTTTGAAGACGTGAAGAATGAGAACCAAAACGAGATCCCACTTACGAGTGCCAACACTTTTTGTCTGGATAATGAACCGGTGAGAATGCTCTATGCTCACCACAAAGGAGTTCAATTTGAGAAAGCCTGCGTCAACAACTTTTTAAAATCCTGGAATCATACTGTAAAGGAAACCTATAGATTATTTGATTCTGTCACCGATTTAGATCCGCACTTGGCGAATGAGACGAAAGTGGTGAGCATTGTTCGTGCAGTGACCCATGAGCTGTGCACAATTTTGGCTGATTTTGATGAAAGGATCAGACAAGAGCAAAAAGCTTTGGATCAACAAATTAATCAGCATAAGATTCTGGAGCAGAAATTGGCTGATACGAAGAAAGAAGTTTTTCAAGGGACATACTTGGAAGAGACACCAATTTCCCAACCAAATACAGTGTGTTATGGACCGAATTGCGTGGAAATGATTCGAGATCCGACGACGAATGCTTTGAAAACTTTTTACAAACGGGTTTGCTTTCAAAGCTGTTCAGTGCAAAATGTGCCTTTGAATCAAATTGGAGCCATGAATTTGCGTCAATGCCCAACTTTTGCCCAAGTAGGGAATTGCAGTGTTTGTGGATGCTCGTGGCAATCTCATATGCACATTCTGTACTCACAGAGAAAGAGGGTTGGTGAGGTAAAAGCTGACAAAAAGGAAGAAAATGATCAAGTTACTCAACAAATTTTAAGTAAATCCTTGTACATCACTCAAAGTCAACAAGAACTTAAAGTTCTCAGGGAAAGCTATCAAAAAGCTCAACAACTGGCCAAGCCGTTTTTTGCGTTTCTTCAGGAGAACCTAATCGTTTCAGTGAATTCTGCTTTCGAGGAATATGCCGAATTCTCGATTGAACAATTGGAGCAAACACTGAAAACGGGAAGTGATCGATATGAGATTGATAAGCTGAAGAAGTTGCTTGCAATTCACCAACAGCAGAAATTCCTGGCAAGTGAGAAACCAAATGAAGAGGAGAAGATCACTTTTGCGAACTATTCCCTGAGAATTTTAGAACTAAAAGATAATCTAATTGTTGGCACCGGCTTGAGAGAATCGTCCATTTATAAGAAATTATTTGATTTCCCGGATCTCGACGTTGTTGAAGTGGTCACAAAAACAAACCTCATTGTTCAGTATAGAAAGTGAAACTTGTGATTGTTTGAATAAATTTCTTATGTTTTTTTTTCTATTCAATAGCTGTTTGAAACAGTTGAAAATGTTTGTTTTTCTGAAAGCTTATTAGCTTTTTTAATTTAACTTTAAGAATGGCAAGCGATCCGATGTTTGCCTCAGCGACTGCATTTTTGAATGCCTTGGACAAGGAAAGTGACTCTGAAACAATTGATGGACAGGCAAGTTAAAAAGCAGAAAGTTAAACAATAGATACTAGTTCGTTTTCTAAACGAACTAGTAAAACCATTGAAACCTACCGTAGTCTAACGATAATTATTCAAAGCATAATTTTGGCTCAGTCAATGACACAGAAATTTAACTTTGAATGGAAACTTACCGTTAGATTACGGTAGGTTTTTTGTATTGGTTCTATTTAAAGCTCAATTTATGTGTCATTGACTGAGTCAAAATTAAGCTTTGAATGAAACTGGGAGTACAGGGTGACCAGAAATAAGGGGTCTATCCCAAAACAGCGTCGCCAAAACAGCGTCGCCAAAACAGCGTCGCCAAAACAGCGTCGCCAAAACAGCGTCGCCAAAACAGCGTCGCCAAAACAGCGCCGCCAAAACAGCGCCGCCAAAACAGCGCCGCCAAAACAGCGCCGACCAAAACAGCGCCACCCAAAATAGCGCCGTACCCAAAATAGCGCCGTACCCAAAACAGCGCCAATGAAAAAAACGCCTAAAACAGCGTCGATGCAAAACAGAGTTTTTTTTTTACAATGTACAATTCATTTTTTTTATTAGCAGCTTTTAATTTTGATAATTTATTTAAAAATAACATGACCAACAATTAAACGATGCATAAAAAACATCAAAAATAGCTCCATAAACGCTCTTGAAAAAATGAAAAGTACAATAGTGCACTTTCGTTGCAGAGTGGGGATAGGCAAGATTGAAACTACAGTACAACGCCAACTCCATATCAGAAAAAAATTATAAAACTAAGATATATTTAAATCCAACCCGTTTTTAATTTGTGCGGAGGTGGCATGCCAGCTGCTTGAAGGTAGCCAAAGACTTCCTTGTAGGTGTTAGCATCCTTTCGATTCAAAAAGGCATACACGCAGGGAACAAACATATGTTCAATTTCTTTTCTAAAATTTCTTAAATTTGGACTTTTATTAAAATAAACCAACCTCGATGCCAATAATGAAGACTTGTTTAAATCCTGCAGGCGCGGAAGCAAATATCCCGTCGCAGGACCAAATGGCATCCTCAAGTACAATAAAAAAAATTTTACAAATATATAGCTAACCTGCAATATGCAATATAATTGTTGTTTTCCCCAATCCGTCCAGAAGACTTTCATTGCCTTTTCATTGCAAGATGTGTACGCATCGCAAGTGTCGAAACGTAGAAAGCTTGTACCTTTATTTGCTTGTAAGAAAGCTTGTACCTTTATTTTAAATTCTATATAAATCATTTAAAAAGCGTACGAAATTTTCCATCATCGACCGGACTTGGCCACATTTTTGCGACAGGAATTACTCGCCTCGCCATTTTTTGCAAACCGGAAACATTGAGTAGGCGTGTTACGTCGGGTGAACTGTTTGTTATTGTTATTACCTGCAAAATGAAAATGCTAAATGGCTAGGCGAACCAAATATTAAGTCACACATCCATAATGCTGATAAAATATACCTCAAAATTTCACGGCGGTCCGTGATGATGAGACGACGATGATGAGTATGCAGCAACGCCTCGTTCCGTTTCAGATTGCTTTGCTACCTACAAAAATAAAAAGTTAGTGAAAACGTTAAAAAACAGGCCGTAAAAGGAAAAAAATTTGTTTTTTTGGTTAAAATCACTTTAATAAACGCTATCGCAGGTTTCTATGCGTAAAGCTTTAAAAAATCGGATTCTCCGCCTTTTTTTATTCTAGAAACACAAAAAGTGGACAGAAAAAGTTAAAAACATCAAAGAAAAAGCAAAAGCAAAAATTTTAAAAATAATTTTTTTGCTGGTCGCTGTTTTGGGCGTTTTTGCATTGGCGCTGTTTTGGGCGGTGCTGTTTTGGGTACGGCGCTGTTTTGGGATCGACCCGAAATAACGTTGCGGGATTTTCAGCAGCCTAAAATCCTCAAAGTTTCAATTTTGGGAGACAAATTTATTTTTATCCTATTCTCTGTGATTGTTTTTATTAGTTTCTTTGTTATTTTACTTTCTTTCAAGTCTATTCCTTTTTTTATAGGATGTCAAGCAAAGGATCTGCCATTCTGGAGCTTCATGGTCAAGGTCAATGCGTGAGTGCGATCGCGCGATTGCTACGTGTTTCTCATCAGCTCGTCTCAAAAGCGATTAAGCTATACAAGGAGCTTGGCAACGATGAAGATCGTCCAGGAAGAGGCAGAAAAAGAACAGTCAACACCTTCAGAAATCGCAAAGTGATTCAGAAGCGCGTGGCCCGGAATCCACAGGTCTCAATGAGAAAGATCGCCTGACAGACGGGGATCGCTCGCGAATCGGTTCGACTTATGGCCAAAAATGAGCTCAGTCTTCACCCTTACAAGCTCAAGCAAGGGCAACAACTTGACGACGACAACAAACGAGTTCGACTCAAAAGATATCGAGAGCTTCTCAAGCGGGAGCGAATCCCGTTTTCTGACGAGAAGCTCTTCTCGGTGGAGCAAAGCTACAACCACCAAAACTATCGGATTTGGTCAACGTCCTCTCCAGGCAGCTCTGCGATTGTTCAACACCGACAAAATCCCAAATCGGTCATGGTATGGGCCGGAATCTGCGCAACTGGCAAAACTCCTCTCATTTTCATCGATTCTGGGGTAAAAATCAATAAGGATGTGTACCAAAAAAAGATTCTTGAGGATGTTTTGCTTCCCTGGGCTTAACAGCATTTTGGTAACGGATTTTGGTCCTTCCAACAAGACTCCGCCCCTTCTCGTCGAGCCAAATTCACACAGGACTGGTGTAGGACAAACTTTCCGGATTTCATCTCGGCCAGGAATGGCCTCCGTATTCGTGCGATCTCGATCCCTTGGACTACAGTGTTTGGTCAATTTTGGAGGCAAGGTCTTGTGCAAAACCCCACAAAAGGCTCTTAAGCGATCGTTGACCAGGGAATGGGATCGAATCACTCCGACCGGGCTGCGGCCCATCGCCAAAACTTCATCAAGCGTTTGAGGCTCTGCATCAGAGCCAAAGGTTTTCTTCAAACTTTGAAGAAAAGTAGATTTTATGCTCTCTTTATATCATGTTGTCAATAAAAAATTGTTTCTGTTACAAAATCTTTTTGGATTTTTAAAAAATAGGCTAAATTAGGCCGCAACGTTATTTCTGGTCACTCTGTATAGGTTTGCTTTCCTTTCTATACTACACTGTAGATGGCCTGTCGATCTGATTCTGCAATCAGTGCAGTGTCTTTCAACAATGATTGTAAAGACTTTAAACTAGAAATGAAGCTGATAGTAAAATATAAAAGTTCAGAGTTTTGTAGCTAAATTTACACGAACATTTCAGGCTGATGACGTCAGTGCAACGGAGTCGGCTTCTTTCGATCAAACACGTCAATTCAACCCTTCTCAACAACCAATTCATTCCAATGATCCCGATGCAGATGTGAAGAAGAAAATTGTACTTTTCAACCTCCCAGAACCGTTTGGTGATGATCAGATGAAAGAGCAAGCCGATCGGAATGCTTTTCATCAAGTTTTATATGCGATCAACGCGGAAAGTCTGGCCGGAAATATTCGCGAGATCAAACGAGAAGGACGATTTGAACAAAATGGAAGACCTCGTCGTGTAATTGTGACATTCACTGATGAAAATGTGCAACGAATCGTTGTCGAATGTGCGCCGCAACTCTCAAAGATTCGTCAACTGAAACATCTAGCGCTTTATGCTTACAAATCACCGGTGGGTTGAGCTTATAATTAGGTTGAAAAACGTGCATCCTTCGCAATAAGAGTTTCGATAAATACACTGTAGTTTTACTTACTTGTCTCTAGTTCTATCCAAGTTAGGCACTACTTTTCAGATGATTCGGGAGGATTTCGATTGGATAAAATAGAGAAAAGATACTTTGCAAAAGTGGACTTGAGATGGACACACTCTAGTTAAAACTTTGAGACAAATCTTACAAATCGATTCAGGCACAACGATTCGAACCACCTCCGGAGCAACAAACGAAACGTCAAAACAACAAAGCACGGGTGAGCTCAAGAATACCCTTAACTTAGTTTTGATTCCTTTTGCAAGACCGGTCATAATGTCAAGGCTTGCATGACGTGTAAGAGGTTTTACAGAGCCATTTGAAACTTTTAGCCGACGAGAGTGGATGGGTATCACGGCGGCACTTCTCGGAAGGCTCCCGATCAAAAGTTCGAGCAAAGAGGTAAACATCTTGTCGATTTTAATTTATAGTATGAAATGGAAAACGACCCACTAACGTTTAAACGTTTGCATTCTGTTTTGGATAAACCTGTTTATCCAAAAAATCAAAAGCTCTAATCCCAGGCAAGAAAGAATTACGACCTCAACATCCACCACCATCTGATTCACCTCAACTTTCACAAAACAGCCACGCTGGGAGCTTGTACGGGAGTACGACAAATCCTTCGAATGGTTAGTTTTAGGAAAGGAAAGTTTTCATACTGATAAGGGAACCCAAAACCTATGCGACCCATACCATTCGATGCAGAATTTTATGCTGATTTCGAATATGGATTCCGTTTTTGCTAAATGACAATCTGTCAGGAGTGATAAGCGTTTGTTAGGACTCTGAAAGTGTTGACTATTGTCTGGAATTTTGTTAGGACTTTGAAAGTGTGGTCATTTGGGTCTTAGCGGCTTCTTTGCGGGGGGAGCTTACATCAACGCCACTGTAGGAAGAAAATAATGGAGAAATCGGTGCACCAGAAAGAATGCGTTTAGGCATCTAGTGAACACAAAGTACATCTTATGCACAGAGTGTGTGCGAAAAAAAGTACATGCATCTTAGACCTTAGATACTGTTATTGTTGTTGTTGTTGAAGTTAAAGCATATTGTTAAAGTTATCATGACATTTTTTTCAGTCAATTATGTCACTCGATCGGAACCTCCGCGCCCCATTTCGCCACAACTTTCCGAAACAAGTAGCAATGCTGGGAGCTTTTACGGGAAAATGCTACAGTCTTCCAATGGTCAGTTTTTCGAATAGCCTCATGAATGAAAACATGAAACTTTTCTAGAAAACATAAAGGCCTGAAGTGGAAAACTTTTAGATATCTCTCTCCATTTCCAGCCTCCATCCAGCATTCCGCTGGCTCCAAAACAATTAAATGGGAACCATTTACAGAGAGTTGAAACCTCAAACTCTAAAGACCGTGGGTTTTTGATAGGTTTCTCATCTGACATACCTGCAATAATTGACTTCGAGGGTTCAATCCCCTTTCCGGAAATCTACTTTCTCTTGCCAATTCCTTCACTTCTTTATTACTGAAACTGTGGATGTGTTTTGTGAACTATGAATACCTTCTGCATGACCAAAGAATTTAGGTCATAAACAAGACGGAACACCTTCGAACGTGCAGTCCAATGAAGTGACTCCAAATCATCAACAACAAATCTTCAACAACTCTTTCGGATTTCGACACAATGGCGCTATGCCAGGTGAGGCTTAAAATCAGAAATAACTCCTATGGAACTTGAATTTCAGCTTAAGTAGAGTCTTGATATAAAACCTGTAATACTTTTGAACAATTCAGGCAATGGTCAACAAAATGGAATGAACGGCCAACACCATGCAAATCAACCAGCACCATTTCCACCGCAAATGTTCAACAATGCTTTTGGTTTTGCGCCGAATTTTGCCCCGCCAGGTGAGATTTGAAAATATTAAGCGATTGACAAAAGTTTGAAAGCAGCTCAAAAGGCCGATTGTGAGACTTGGAAACGCCAGAAGCTAAGGCTAAAAATTGAAAAAGGTTCGAAATTCAAAGATAAATTTTCAGGAAATCCTCAACCAGTTCCACTAATGTCTTTCAACCCAACCGATCCGCAATTCCAAATGATGATGATGCAAATGTACGGAATGTTCCTCAACTCTCAACAAGCACAGCAAAACAACAATCCTTCCGTGCCGTCAAATGTGCCAACATCAGCAAATGAGTTTTCTGAAGTAAGTGAAGAATCGGAGGAATCTGATGAAGAATCTCTGACTGAAGAAGAGCAAAACGATGAGCCAACAAATCAATTTTTCAAAGCTCAATCTGAACAGCACACTGGCACCAAGAAAGAGCTGAATATTCTTGTTCTTGGTGAAACGGGAGTCGGAAAATCGACTTGGATCAATGGAATCGCGAATTACATGAGCTTTGACACACTTGAGGATGCGCTCAACGCTCGACAACCGATTTGCCTTATTGCCAGCAAGTTCTCTTTCTACGAGACAAATGAGACGAAGATTGATGTGAAACTTGAACCATCGCACAACGAGAAAGATGAGAATGAGTCATTCTCCGATCAGGGTCAATCGTCGACGCAAGAACCGAAAACTTACCAATTTGAGACGTCCAAGTACATTGTGAATATCATTGATACTCCGGGAATTGGAGATACTCGTGGAGTTGAGCAAGACAAAGAGAATACAAGAAAAATTCTTGGCGCCATTGGACAGTACAAGCATTTACACGCAATTTGCTTCCTCTTCAAGGCCAATGAAGCAAGAATGACGTTGAGCTTCAGATATTGCATCAGTGAGATCTTACTCCAACTCCACAAAGACGCTGTTAACAATATTATCTTCTTTTTCACAAATGCTCGTGGCACTTTTTATAAACCCGGTGATACAATGACTCCATTAAATACTTTTCTCACTGAATTGCACAAGGAAAGAGGACTTCGAATTGCACTCACAAGTGATAAAATCTGTTGCACTGATAATGAAGCTTTTCGACTTGTCTGTGCTCATTTCAATGGAGCGAAATTCACCGAAGAAGACTTTCAAAATTTTGCTGGAAGCTGGAAACAATCAGCTGCTGAAACGCATCGTTTTATTGAGTTCACCGCTCGTCAACGGCCTCATCATGTTGCTGATACGGTTTCGATCAACAAGGCAAGGACGGTCATTTTTCATTTAGCGAAACCATCGGCCGATGTGAATGAGTTGATCGAGTCGAATATCAAAGTATTTGATGAGAGAAAGAGAGAGCTCCAAAATACAGCTGCAACTTTAGACGATTTGAAAAAAAAGCTTCTGATTCCACAGATTGGAATAGAAGTCAAGCCGTTGAACTACCCGAAAACCGTTTGTGCTGCTCAAAGATGCATTGATACTATCCAATTGCCACACACTACTCAATACCAAACGATCTACAAACAGATTTGCCATGATCATTGCTTTCTCACAAATGTTGATGTAGAACGTGTTCCTGAACCCCACCTTCAACAATGTGCCGCAATGGCTGGAAGACCAAATTGTCAAGTGTGCGAATGTCTTTGGAGTACTCATATGCACATCCGTTTTGAGCAAATCAAGACTAGTGTCCAAGTCGAAGACAACAACACGAAGACTCTCATTCAACAAAAACAAGACGCGAGTAAAGTGAAGGAGAAAATGATTCGGGATTGTGAGAATACAATTGATGAGTTAAAGAAAGAACAACAGAAAATCATCAAAACTTCTCTACGATTTGGAAGCTTTTTGCAAGCCAATGCCATCCTTCCCTACAATGACGCCTTCGAGAAATACGTGGAGCAAACAATTTCGGAAGAGGAGAAATGCACGGATATTGGTGGTGAGCGATCGAAATTGGATAATTTGAAAAAGATTTTGGATGAGTATCGACAAGAGAAAGTTATGCTGAACGAAGCGCGGAAGAATCCGATTGCAAATGGAGCGAATACGATTACCCCGGATGAGATTGAGGTGATGAAAGCGGAATTGTTCGGGCTGAAACACACGGGAAAAATTCTGAAGAACTTGTTTGCTGCGACGGAAGACGGGCTGGCAAAACATCAACAACATGTGACGGTTAAATACTCACCACCAAAGCAAGTTCAACCGGCAAACTTTGGGAAGTACAAGAAGACGGGCGAGAAAGAGATGTGGGTTTGAAAGTTGCTTGGTTACTTTGGATCTTGAAACTAAATTTGGATTTAAAAGCTTGCAGCATAATTAAAAATTCTTATATAAATGAGCCAAAGTTTCACAAGTCGAAATGCTTAAAATTTTGGGTAATGTAAGATAGATTCAATCAATTTTAGTCTAAACTAATTAAAACTGATTAAATTGAAAATGAGCCGAAAAATAAATTTTTCTTTTCGTCGTTGTTTTACGCGGCGCTGGTTTGGGCACAGCGTTGCTTTGATCGGCGCTGTTTTGGGATTGGCCCACTGAGTCTTGTGATTCCTCAACAAATGATACCAAAATCGAGCTGATTTAAATGCAAACTGACAATTTAATTATGATAGTTTTCTACAAAAGGTGTCCTTAAGAAACGCATTGCTCAGAAAGAACATACTTCAATGTTTGTTACGGTAAAGTAAACCTTCAGTAAACCTTTACACTTCGCTTTTCAGCCCTGCACCTTCGAGCGGTGGACCGAAGAAGCAACAGCAAAACAACAACAAAAACAAGTACAAAAAGAACAAGAACAAGAGAAAATAGAACCATTTCATTAAGTTGTGTTTTTTGTTCATTGATGTTCTTTAACTAGCAATCATTTCCTTTTTTCACAAACCTTTGTTTCTTATTCATTCATTTCTTATCAATAAATTTCTCTGGTTAACTCTTTTGGCTGCTTTCAAAAACGGTTTGGCCCGTTTGCTATCGACAACTTTTCATTCTCATGTTTAGTCTAGAAATTTAGTTGATTAAAGTTTTAGATCATTTTTTGTGGAATGGTCTCTAGACTTCCTTCCTCTAATGACGCACAAGGTGGGTAACTAAACCAAGGAAATTGTTCATAAACGTTTGCCATTTGACACACTGACGAATTCTGATAACAAAACAGTTGGGTTTCAATAACACTAACTTATTTTTTTCAGATGATATGACTTCTCAATTTCCTCACACTTCACCGGTGCCGATGGAAACTGACGACATTGAGCTTGAAGCGCCGACTTTAGCTGAGCAACAGGCAAATTTTAAGCGATTAGTGCAAAAATTCTTAGCCTAACCAGAATATCAGCAGCTTATTATAAAAGATTAAAGGTAAATTAAAAAGACTTAGGATTTTTCAGCATTTCCCGGAACAAATGGAAGAAGTAGATGCTTCAAATGGAATTCAAAGGAAAAACGGTTGCAATCAACACTTTGATACTGTAAGTGTTTTTGTTAATCGACATAATAGTTGGCTTTAGTTTGCAATTTGCTTAAACTTAATTTAGGCTAAAGGATTTTTCAGGAAAGCTTTAGTTGATGAGATTCCAGTGAGACTTATTCGAAAAATAAATAAGCAATTTTAGCCACTCGCCAGAAAATCTGAACCTGATCAACAAAACACTGTCGATTTGCTCAACGGAGACCAAGATGTGAATTTGATTCGTGAAGCCCAACTGAACGCCCACAATATCAACGCCCGTCTACAAGATCTATCACCCGAACAAGCAAAACTCTTCCTGAACACTTTAAGCAAGAATTTGTGGAGAGAAGACAAACAAGTGAGTGTATTTATTTCACTAGAACTTAAAAATGAAAATGTCTTTAATAAAACGTGTCATTTTTTAAAAACTACAATCTTACAGACAAAATCATGGTAATTTTCAGATGCTAACACCGCTCTATTAAAGGATTAAATACCATTTTCAAATATTAAACGAAATTTTCAGGATGATTTCTCGAAGAAGCCATTGGAGAAAGCTCTGGATGACTTCATTCTATTGGATCTCTCGGTTGAGATTCCGCCAGTTGAAACAATCCAGTCAATGTTTAAATCGAGTGAACTGAGTGATTGCAATTCATCAAATGATCCACAAAGTTTCATGAATCGAGAAACCACAATCGGACCCATTGCTGCTGATATCTACGAGGACATCACTCCAAGAAAACTTTCCGGAACTTCTCAATTGCCTCTTGGGCGAGAATTCGAGGAACAAGATGTCGTCTCAGCTGCAAAGCCTTTATCTTCCTTTATCTCCTCAAACACTCCATTTCACGAGTGCCAAACAAATGTACAACAACTTGTCAAGCAATTTGAAAAAGTTCCGAATCCTGATTGGCCTTCAAATTTGAGCTATGACTTGAAACCGATTCAAATAAAATTCCCGTCGGCTTTCGAAGCTCCAACGTATGAAGATTCTCAATTTTCTGAAAATTCAAGATATCGGCAAATTTCCAACTCAAATCAAAAATCTTACTATCCAACTATTGAAACTGAGAGAGAAAATGGAAATGGATCAGTTGCAAAGCCGAAAGAAGACTCCCTGATGACCCCAATTGGTTTGCGCTTGTCTGCTCAGCGAAGTTCATCGGTAACTGAAAACACATCGAATTCTCAGAAAGTTTCAGATCGTTTGAGCCGAAGTACTTCCAAGAAAATACATGGTGATTTGGAAAAAGAAAAGGAAAATAAGAATGGATTTTCGTTTTCGAGAAGGAGTTCAAGTTATGAGGCTGCTTCAAAGAACCCGACCAGCTTGAGCCCCATTACTGCACCTCGAACTTCGGCAAGGTCTCAACATTCTTCTGAGCACTCGAGTCAACTGGCTCGTTACTCGACAAGTGCCGAATCTAAAGCCAACAACGAAAATGTGCCGTTTGCAAATAGGAAGGGAGATCTTGACGGTGTAAAAAGTCACTGTCTTTCTTCTCAGTCTCAAAACATTTCTGATAATAAGCCAACTGTACAAGTCCTGAATGAAGAGACGAAACAACCTGCTTCTACGAGAAGCTGGAGTCAAGTTGTGCAAGCAAAATCGGAAAAGCATGAAAGCTATAAGAGACAAAACGATTCAAAAGTGTGTTCAAGTACGAGTGAAGCTAAGAAATCGGAGCCTTCACCAACTATTAGTTCCGAAACTTGTTCAAATAAGCCGAGATTCACTGCTCCATTCCAAGAAATTTCCCTCGAAACCGTCAAAACACAAGTAGCCAAAGTCAAAAAAGAGGAAAACGAGTGGCTACAGAAGGAAAATGTTGAAGTGCGAAAATTCGGCTCAACAACAAAAAAGTCGATCAATATTTTGGTGCTCGGACAGACAGGAGTCGGGAAATCAACATGGATAAACGCTCTTGTCAACTATTTAACTTACAAAACGCTAGATGAAGCGATTGCTGCCGACGCGCCGATTTGCGTGATTCCAACTAAATTCACAATGTTTGACGACAATTATCAGAGACACGATGTCCATCTTGGAGTACACGACAATGAGGTTTTTGTGGACAATGGTCAATCAGTCACTCAAAGCGCTAAGACCTATCTGCATGAGCAAGATGAACACAATATTTATATCATTGACACTCCGGGAATGAATGATACCAGAGGACACTTGAAAGATGAGGAAAACATTCAGAATATTCTTCGAGCAATCGCACCTTTCAAAGAGATCCATGCGATTTGCTTTCTTTTCAAAGCGAATGAGGCTCGTCTCACGGAATCTTTCCGCTACTCGATCGGGAAACTGCTTGGAAATTTGAGTAAAACGGCGCTCAACAACGCTTGCTTCGTTTTCACAAATGCTAGAGGAACTTTTTATCGACCGGGTGATACAATGGGACCGTTGAAGGCTTATTTCAATGGGCTGAAGGAGAAAGAAGGACTTTCAGTGAGAATTGATGACAGCAACATCTTCTGTTTGGACAATGAAGCTTTCCGATTTGTTTGTGCTCATTTCAGTGACATTCAATTTGATACAAGGGAAATAAAAACGTTTGCCGATAGCTGGAAACATTCGTCGAACGAGGTACAGAGATTGTTGGATCACGCTGCACGAGCTCGCCCACACAACACCTCGGACACGCTGTCAATCAACGAGACTCGAACTTGGATCTATCAGTTAATCGATCCAATTCTCAAAGCTTGTACAATGATCCAGAGAAACTTGCAGCAACTGGACTGGCAGAAGAAAGAGCTGATGCAAGCCGAGAGCAATGTTGAAGAATTGCGGAGATTGGCGACGATTCGAGTGACTTCAATAGAAATCTTACAGCTATCGATGCCCCAAACCGTTTGTCGGAGTCAAAAATGTGCAAGGTATGAAAGGATTGATGGAAAAGAAGCGTTGATCTACAGGGTTTGCCACAAAGATTGCAAACTAAGCGATATTGGAAAACTAGACGGATGTGCAGTCTTTCATGGTTGCAGGTTCTGCACGGAATGCTCCTGTCACATAAACGATCACGAGCGAATCCCGTACAAGCAACAAATCACCACAAAATCTCTGGAAAACCCACAAAAACTTGCCCTTGAAGTGAATGCTGCCGAGATGAAGAAAACCTCGATTCGAAAATTTGAGCGACTCATCAATGGATATCAAAAAGAATCCAACTACATTTTATTCGCAATGACAACTTTTTCAGCGTTCCTTGCTGAGAATGGGATCACTCAGCAAACGAATCTTTTTGAACAACACTTACAGAAACTGATTGTTGCCGAAGAAAAGAAAATGAAAAGCGTAGCCGGGGTGGATGCGGAGGAATTCAATCGATTGCTCGAACTCAGTATGACTTATGGAGATATTTGCAAACAATTTGTTCATCAACGAGACTCGGAAAAGATCTCACTTGATGAGCTGCAAGAAATTCGACAAAAGTTGTTCTCTTTACCGCTGAATGGCGCAATGATTGCACAGATTTTCGATATTCATGTGAAGACCGATCATCAGGATTATGATGCAACTGTGACACGCTGCGAGAAATCGATGTTTCAGTGAGTTTAGCAAAAAATAGATAGAACAATAGAGACATAGATAAAATAAGTCCCAGTCTTTTGCTCATTGCATTATATTGGAATAATTTCAGCATAGCCATTTGCACAAATCCAGCTCCTGCAGTTGATTTTTGAAGTAACTAACTATCTAGCATTCAGATAACCCTAGAGTAACCCTAGAGTAATGCGTCTTCCAAAAGGTAGCTTTCCGAATTAGCCACCTTTTAGAAAACGCACCACTCATTGAAGCCTATCAACTAGCTTAAAATAGTAGAACTTAAATTCTTAATAGCCTAAAATAGTAGAGCTTAAGTTTTATTTATTTAGCAGAGCTTAAATAGAGCTCTACTAAATAAATGAAACTAAATAAAATAGAGCTTAAAGTAATTGAAAGAGATTCACAAAATGACCTCCAAGATCTCAACTAAAATTTATGAGGATAATTTTTAGCATGTATTCTTGAAACTTTTACAGTACTTCAGAAAATAACGATAAATCATAAATTTTAGAAAAATTTGTGGTGGTGTGAAGAAAGTGTTCTCGTTTCTTGGTCCACCAAGAAAGAATAATTTTAGTAAAACAGTAATAACACAGTAATTTTTAGCATGTATTCTTTAATCTTTTACAGTACTTCAGAAAATGGCAATAAATTATAAATTTTAGAAAAATGTGCGGTCGTGTGAAGAAAGTGTTCTCGTTTTTTGGTGGCTCCACGAAATAATCCAAGAAAATTATCGAAATTTTTCATTTTTTTCAATAAACTATCTATTATGCTTTGTTTCATTTTCCATTTGGTTATCTCATCCAAAAGATTATCTTGATTGAATTTTAAATACTGTTTACTTGTGAAATTATCGTTTTAAGCAAAACAAACTTTTTTGCAGATGCCTCACTTGCAAAACAGCGCTTTCCTCTCGTCGGATTCGTCAGATGCCGAGAACCAGGATTTCGAGCAAGTGGGTGGAAATTTATTTACCTAAGCATTCAAACATTAGAGAAATCGAGAATGACTGTACTTTTTAATACTAGGGTAACGCTATTTCAATTAGTGACTCTTAAATCTTTGAAAACTTACTTGATCTTAATCAGAAATAATTGCTAGTTCTCTCAAATTGCATGTAAATGTATCTTTTTGCCAGGGTTTACAGTAGATTTTTAATTCTTTAAGGTTGCCTTACAAAGAAGGGGTTGATTTATTCATAGTCGTCATCTGCATATCAATTTTCAGATCGCAAATTTTCGTCCAGTGCCCGTGTTGACCGCTCTCTCGTCACCGATGCATCAACAAATGTCCAACTCTTCATCGGCGATTCCTCAACAATTTGACGCTACACCGCAAGGTATGCAAAGAATAAAAACAATAAATTTTGTACTGTGCTATGCATTGAAAATTTTTCTTTGCAAATTGATCCATTACGAGTTTTTAGCAAACGATTCTGGCCGTCCAACGATGTCCTGCCAATTGTTTCCTGCCGGGACTCGAACTGCACCTACTTCAAATTTGCCGGTACTTACACAACTTTATTCTTCAAAGAAATTATAAATTGTGATAATTTCAGCAATTCCAACCAGCTCCACATTCAAACAATGCCGGGCCTCCGAATTTTGCTGACAATGGGATGCCATCGGTATGAAGAGAAGTGTTTTTAGATTTTAAGCAAGATCATTTTCATTTATATTCTGCGTAAAGTTTAAGTTTTTATGTAAATCTATAATTTCAAGCAATTCCCAATGGTCTCCCCGCAACCGGGCTTTCCTCCAGCAGAAACTCCTCAAATGCCACCTCAAGTTCAACAGATGCCCAACGGAAACATGATGGGATTCATGCAAGATCCAAATTTTATGCAACAAATGGTAGCTACAAGTTTGATTGGTTGAAAACATTTTCTTCTAGATGCTCTTCATGCAACAAATGCAGCTGCAAGCGCAACAACCGATGCAACAAAATGGGGCATTCAATCCAAATCCAGCTTTCCCGGGCTATGGAATGCAACCAATGCAAGGTAAGAACTTTGCAACTTTGAGAGTTTTGATGTAATGAATTTGAAGGGACGCTTAAACTTCTAAAAGGTGCATTTGGATAAGCTATACTTCCAAGTTTAGTCACCAGGCATTTAGATATAGTCTTGCTGACTTAGTTGAAAATACATACATACTTAATTTGTTGTCTAAGCGTACCTTTTAGAAAATGCTTCAATTTTGATGAAGCTAAACATTTAAGAACTCAATTTTTAGGCATTCAACAGCTACCCCAGGCTCCACCCGCTTACTCAGCATCACAAACTCCCGTTCCACAGAAATCCAAGCCAAAACCACAAAATGGTAAATAAAACATAAAAATTTTTCAATTAAAATGAATTCCAGGCAAGCCAAGCTCTTCGAAAAATTTGCCAGTTTTGCCGGACTTACCCACTTCCCATCAATCAAAGAACAACCAATACTCTGGGCCACGAAAAGAAATCAACATTCTTGTACTCGGTGAAACGGGAGTCGGAAAATCGACGTGGATCAATGGCATCGCCAACTATATGAGCTTTGATCACATCCTTGATGCATTGGAAGCACCAGAGCCGATTTGTGTGATTCCATCAATGTTCACGATGTGCGACGAGAATTATCAGCAACGACAAATTGTCATCGGAAATTCGACGAATGAAGTGTTTGGACAAGGACAAAGTGCGACACAAGACGCTCGAACTTATCTCTTCCCACACCCGAAATATGATGTTTATATCATCGATACCCCTGGCATTGGAGATGTTCGTGGAATTGAGCAAGACAAGGAGAATACGAGGAAAATTCTGAATGCAATTGCAGCTTACAAAAATTTACATGCAATTTGTCTATTGTTCAAATCGAATGACGCTCGGATGACGTTGAGCTTTAGATATTGCATTGGAGAGTTGCTACTTCAATTGCACAAAGACGCAGCCAAGAATATCGTGTTTTTCTTTACGAATGCTCGCGGGACTTTTTACAAACCCGGTGATACAATCGTCCCGTTGAGAGCTTTCCTCGATGAACTTCAAGCGAAACATGGGATTCAAGTGGCTCTCGATCGGAGCAATATCTTTTGCCTGGACAATGAGGCGTTCAAATTCGTTTGCGCCTATCACGATGGAGTTGAGTTTAGCAAAGATGACATGAAAAATTTCGAAGCGAGTTGGGCAAAATCGGCCGATGAGACGCATCGCTTTCTTGACTATGCTGCTGGATGCAAACCGCATTCTGTTGACAAGACTCTCTCGGTGAATCAAGCTCGTGGAATCATTCTCCAACTCGCTAAACCCTTGGCTGACATCAATGAATTGATTGAGACAAATATCAAAGTGTATGATGATCGAAAGGTCGAGATTGAAAACACGAAAGCGACGATCAATGACTTGCAACAGAAGTTGTTGATCCCACAAATTGGAATCAAAACCGAGGAACTCAGCTATCCGATGACCGTCTGCACTGGCCCGAAATGCATCGAAACGCAATCGATTCCAAACAGTGAACAATTGCAAACGATCTACAAACAGATTTGTCATGATCACTGTCAATTGGACAACGTTGATCCCGAGAGATTCCCTGAGCCTCATCTACAACAGTGTTGGGCAATGCAGGGTGGGCAAAGTTGTACAGTTTGTGGTTGTTTATGGTCTACTCACATGCACATTCGCTTCAAGCAAGTGAAAACGAACGAATCAGTTGAAGATGTGAACATAAAGAACGCAATTCAAACGAATGAAGACGCTCGAATCACAAAGCAGAAAATTATCGAATCTTGTGAGAAAATCGTGAAAGAATACAAAAATGAACAGAAAACGGTGATGGATGCGAGCATTCGTTTTGCGGTTTTCTTGAAGCAGAATGCGATTATGACCTATAATGATGTTTTTGAGAAATATGTGGAAAAGTCGATTGAAGAAGAGGAAAAATGTATCAAAGCGGGCGGAGATCGAACGAAACTGGCCAATCTGAAGCGCTCTTTGGATGAGTATCGACAGGGTATGTGATTTTGGAGTCAAATAAGAATATAGAATTTCTGGGCAAGACTAAGGATAGGTCATTGTAGCTACACTTTGTACTTTGAAATTACAGTATTTTCAATTTCAAACGGTCTAGAAAACCTAGGAAGTTTAGCGGAACTCATTCAAATGAAAAATAGCTGATAGTATCTAAAACCTAGTGGTATTTCTTTAATCAATCAACCACTTTACAGAACGAGCCGCGATCGAGCATGCCTTGCAATCCGGCGGAAACCATCAGCAACAGATCACCACTGATGATGTCAAGAATATGAAAGCCATCCTCTTCGCGTTGCCTCATTTTGGAGCAAAACTCAAAGAACTCTTTGAGCAAACTGTGCGCGGATATTCGATGAATCAACAACAAAGCGTGCAAAAGTTTGCCCCACCAACGTACACTGCAGCCTCTTCTTCTGGTGGTGGAAAGAAGTGGGTTAGATTGAATATTTAGATAAAGACAAAGATATTGTTGTTACTTAGTGTCGGTCTAATAATTTTTACCGGATTACAGTACTAAGCTTTGGGTCTTACAAAATACTTGGCAAGATTAAAAACACTTTAACATTTTCAGAAGTGGTCTCATCGACAAGCTTCGCCGCATCTTCCCCAAATAAAAGAACAAAAAAGAGCAACTTTTGAAGAGAAACAGACAACAGAAATTCCAATCACCTATCTTTCTATTTAATTTTAATATCTTTCATCTGCATCAAATTTGGCTTAAAGTTTTTTTTTTATTTTTCCTACCAAATTTTCCATCTTTTTTAAAGTTGACAACACAGTTTCTTCGTATTTTTGTAATTTTTCAGATAATTGTTAAATAAACTTTGAAAATCACTTTGGCAACAGAATTTGGTGCAAATGGCAAATGCAAAATGATGCTAATGCTCACAAGGCTCGAGTGATTCACGACTGGCGTAAGCAGCATTTTCCCGATTTGGCCATTTTTAGTGGCCATCCTGAGATCCCGATTTTAATTCAATGGATTTCA